AAAAGCATAAGGATTTAACATATCACTGCTGGGCAGTGTTACACCTACTTTGGAAATGAGCTAGGTAATCTAAAACCAAATAAAGAGCAGCAGCTTGGGAAAAAAAGTAATTTCTTGACGGCCATTGTGTACAGCTTTTATTTTTAAAATTCGGGAGAAAAACAGAATGCACCATATGCACCAAAATGTTCATCTTACCTTTTAAAAAGCCATGCTAAAACATAATGAAGAATTCAGCTTAAACACCCTTCCAGCTTTTCACAATGAGATGAGATTTAAGTGTGGGACTGACTGCTGTAGAGAATGTTTTCTAGACCCAGTGTTTAGAGAAAGCAGAGGACTGGGCCTGTAATATGTATCTATCTTTTTGCTGGTAAGTACGTGAGCTAATGATGTTTACAGCTGGAACAAATTGCATGCAACATTCTTGGGAAAAATCATCAGACTATTCATAGCTTTCTTCATATTGCAAACATACATACACATCCAGAAATCTCCTCAAAATACATCTCTAAAACCCGAATTTTACATTTCAGCACAATGTAAGTGCATAATATGAGAAGTGTAATAGCACTTCAAACAACTTTAAAGGCATTTAAAAGCATGCCTGTATTTGGCATAAATTTAATTAGTATTTTGATAAATTTTACACTGCTGCTGACAGGAATTTCATAAAATTGATTTTATAAACCAGATTCTGCAGTCTCCACTCAGTCTTATTCAACTACTTCTTAATCTTATGCATTGACAAAAAACAAATTCACTTTTTAGAAGTAGTTACAAAGTTGACAGTAGAGAAATACAGAATGTAAAAAATTAGATTTCTTGCACACTAGTTTTCACTTAATAAAGCGTATTTAATACAAAGAAATAGGACCATTTTTGCAACTATTGGCAACAAATGAAAACAGATGCGTAATTCAATCCTTGTATTGACCATAAAAATAGTAATTTCTCTGCAATCTTCTGTTTATTGGTAGCTTTTCTCTTATTGTTTTAAAATGAATCTTATTAAAGAAGCTACTAGAACAGATAAACTAAAAATCAGACAGTATCTAATAGCATTAAGAATGTTAAAAACCCCTCACATTATGCATTTCTTTTGTCTAATCTTGTGTGCATGTTTCCTTCTCTTAGTCCTTATTATTAAGTACATTTAATTCTTGTTTTAAAATTAATTCATCCATGCCTACTTCTTATTTCCTATTTGAATTTTAAATCCATCTGTTTGTTACTAAACATGCGTCCAAAACATTATAGACCAAATGCACTCCTTGTCGATACTTTGTGACCCTATTGTCATCATTCTGTTATCACTGTGACATAAAACCCCTTGTTAACTTTATCAGAGTTTCTGTTAGGACTACAGATGCAAAACCGCAAGGTGAGAAGTCTAGAAGAAGGAGGAATAACATAAAAGCTCTCAAAGAAACTTCTCGTACTAATGACCTTATAACGTAAGTGTCGTAAAAAAATCCAAAAAGCACATAAACAGGCATTGTCCAGCCCAAATAGTTTTGAATTGGAGGTATTTCTATGGCTTTTTTTTTTTTTTTTTTTTTCTTTCCCCCCCAAGGATGCCCTGAATGTTTCATTCTCCCCAGCTGGTTTACCTAGAATCCCTGTGGCTTTTGATGAAGGAAAAAACCTTACTTTATTTGAGTACAGATATCAAAATCCAACCCTAAACTACAGATCATCTGCACAAATGCCACTGTTATGTGTATTTACTTCCAAGAATATTTGCTGCTCACAAGATCTTCAAAGTAATACTAAATTGATGAAGTTTATTCTAAATATGTGGGATTCAGATACCAATCTGTTTTCACACTAAACAAGGTTTGGACTGATGAAAAGTATCAGTGACCTTTCCCGGAATGCTGAACTGGACTGTTCTCCAATTTAACCAATGATATCCTAGTTTCTCCAACTTGTTATAGTACTTGGAACCTGTAGAACAAGAATCCATACACATAGAAGTTATTAATGCTGTACACGTTCTTAAAAAGACACACAAACCAAGCTCATTAAAACATCTGTGTGTTATTTGATATTTATCATATCCACCATTTCAAAATAGTTTGTGCTATCAAGCATCATGTTTGTTTGTATACTGTCAGTTTCTTCAGTAAAGTCACATGTAACAAAAAATTAATATAGTCTGTCAAAATTTTTCTATCACAGCTTATCACCATAAAGTTTGGTTGTACACTGCTATACTATGTGTTTAATATTAATACAGACAATGCTATTGGACTTTATCTACTGCAAACTAATGCAGGTATGTTGGATTTTATTAGTAAGAATTCCTACAATAAGCATGTTAGAGGACTTAATCATTCGTTCCCTGAAGACTGCTTATATATTTTGTCAGGCCATTATCTGATCTGAATAACAAGAACAATTGCATAATAAAACACATTACTGCTGACACATGCAACTGTTTTCAACCAACTTTATATTTTCACATCAAGAGGTCTCTTTTAGGTCCTCTGATGTTTCTTCTGAATTAGATCGACCTGATTCGACATTTTCCTATATCAACGATTATGATCAAGATTGTACATACATATATGATCAAATGTAATACATATCAAACTTAATTGCCAGGATTTGACTCAGGCCATTTCCCACAGAAGCAAGTAGTAATTACAGCAAAAGTAGAGAATGTGTCTACTCAGTTTTCATATAGATACTTTAGTATTGTCGAGAGACACCCTAGATTTAAGGAAAATCCAAAAGACAAATAATGAAGAGTGTCCTCCAGACTAACAAAGCTGTTAAGTATGCTCTGATTCAACCTAACTCAACTATGTAGTTCCTATCCAATTAGTCAAATGTATTTTAATCTTTTTTCTTTTACTGTAAAAATAAACACTTTGTTAGGCATTCAACATTGCATGCTGCATGTTTGAGACCAGCTAGCAGAACAGAAAGCTTAACCTAATAAACTTCTCCGTATGCAGTCTCAAAACAGTTCATATAAATTATCTAGATATATTATTTTAATGGTCTGCCCACAGGGGGTATTAACACAGCAATGAGCTGTGTCAAATGTTACCTACTCAAAAAAAAAACAAAACCACACCAAACGATACCAAAACAAAAAACACAAACAAACAAAAGCTTTGTTTTTACCTGAAAGACAAATTCATAGTACTAAAACAATATCAGTAGGATTCCTTCCTAAGACAGCAGATGTGTTATCCTTTTATTTCAAGTTCACAAGTTCATCTGGTATTTTTTTCTGTCATAAATGTTACTGTCAATTACCCAAAGAATGCTGTAATACAATATGAAAGTGACCCTGATTCATTGCCTCAGAACTTGTAGCCTATGCTTTGTAAATATTCCTAGCTTTAAGATCATCAATACCTGAAAGCAACTCTGAATGTCATCCTTCTGCTACTGCAGATTTAGCCTTTCCTGCTTGTGTCACATTAATTTCCTAAATAAATTCTGTCTCATTACCTTTACTGTTGTGACATAAACTAATGTCTTTACTTCACAAAGAAAAGTATTTAATTTGACCCTAATAAACTTTCACTCCTGGTGACACTTATGAGTTGTGATTGATTTTGAATTACACCTGGAATTGCAACATTAAATTCACATTGAGATGCTTAATAAAATGTACTTGGAAATGCATGTTTAACAGCTTCTAATGACACAAGTTAATTCTGTTTAGGTGAACAATAAAAACATAATACAAAAGAGAATAGAGTTGTATAGTTTACTTACAGTGCCCATTTATTATTCTGAATTTATACTGTAAAATAGCCCAAATTTGTCAAGAATTTGTAAAGAAGTAAGTTTATTTTATTCAAATCCACGTTGTCACTACAATAGGTACAATAATACATGAAGAATTTAAATCCAAGTCCATTTGGCAGGAATGGAGAAAAAAATGCTAAAATGCTATTGATTCCTTCCAGTACGTTCAAAATACCTGACTCAACTATATTTCCACTGACATAACACAAAGGTTTTATTTAGATATTAGGAAACACGAGCAAATATTTTCATTTACATACTTTTCATTCTTATTTCTTCTCTCTACCTAGGAAACCGTTAACCCTCAACTACTAGTACTAGCTGTTTCCTCTACCACAGATGTGGCAGATGTCAATAATAGGACCACTGTCCCAAGAGAAATAATGCCTGCAAAAGTTCTCCTCCGGAAATGCAGATATATTTACTGCTAAACAACACTTAACATCAGACTCTTGATGGAATACCTTTATTTGATCTTTGTACTTTCTATCAACTCTGCAGCTCAGCCAGCAAACCTCAACCCCGCTCTTTGTTAAGCCCTCTTAAATGAGTTTATCTTTTTTCTTCCCCTAGATCTTTCTCACCTATCTGAAGAAGTGCCATCAGTACTTTTTAATATGTCCCATAAAAGCACTTAGAAAGCAAAGCTGTGTCTGGAATTGTCATCCTCATTAGAATAAAAAATATACGTATATTTTGTACACAGAAAACTTCATGAAAAATCTGACAACTTCAGAGGTGTGGGCTAAAAATGCTTACAACTGAATGCAGACAAAAACACTCTTAGTATCTATAATCCATGCACTTTTTATATTGAACTGAATTCCCTGTCCCTGGCATTACTTAGCTGGTCACAGCGTGCTGTAGACCCCTCCTGAGGGAGCATCTCTTTGTTTAGATTTCGTCTGTAATCTACCACATACCTACACTCGGACTAAGGTAGACATTACACAATACTTGACACAGTTTCTTTACACAGGTATTCGCCTGCAATTTTCTTTTCTCATAAAAGATGAGCAAATCACTTCATGCACTTTCCCACTGAAAACAGTTCAGGTTACCATAGTCAAGTTCCTCTCCAACCAGAACGGTGTGACTTAAAAGCAGAAACACACACACATAGACACACAGATCTATATATAAAGATGTGTGCGTGTATGCTAAGAAAAGGTGTGGAGGAAGTGGAGAGCATAAGGACTGAAACCAAGCATGGAGTATTTACTTACTAATGCAGTCCTCTCGGACCTCTTTGGAAACCTGAAGGAGTCTCCGCTTTCCCCTCCTGCCAGTCAGGCGCCGCTCTGTGCCCCTAGTCCACACAGGCCCAGAAGGAACTGCAAAGAGAGAGAAGCACATGCCACATCAGGCAGTTCTGGTTTGGTGGGATCCAGTTCCACTGTCGCTAGGTCCTTGGAGGTATCCCTGCTTTCAGAGAAGACTCCTGCAAAAGAGTCATCCTTCCCAAGATTTTTTTTTTTTTTTTAAAAAAAGCAGTGATTAAAAAAAAAAAAAAAAAAAAAAAAAATCAACAACAACAAAACCCCAGAAACCCTCCCGAGGGTTCTGCACACTAAAATTTGTTAGGGGAGTGGGGGGCCGGGGTGGCGGGGAGGGTAGAGGAAAGGTACCTGCAACTCTCTGCGATGAGGCCGGCAGAGAGAGAGGGAGGGAGGAAAAGAGCGAGGAGAGGGAGGAGAGAGGGAGCGAGCGAGGGGTGGGGAGGAGGGGGGAGGGGGGGGCGGTCTGCGTGTGTGTATGGGGGGGGGGGGTGGCGCGTCGGCCCCCCCCCCTCCGTGACCGGCTCCGCCGGCGGCGGGCGGGCTGGCGGGAGGCCCGGGAGGGCCGGGCCGGGCCGGGGGGCGCGCCCCGCGCCGGGGCCCGCGCAGCCCCCCCGCCGCCGCTCAGCCCGCTCACCTGCATTTCCTTAATGAGCCACTTGATGGCTGGTAGCAGCGGCGGTCCCCCGGCCCCGCCGCAACTTTGGCGGCCGCGGAGCCGCGCCGCCCCCGTGGAGCTGGGGATGGGGAGGTGCCGGCCGCAGAGTGCCGCGCCGGGCAGGGACAGCGCCGGCAGCTACCCGCGGAACTTTCCGCCCGGCAGCGGGTGACGAGGGGCCGGGAGGGAACGGCGGGGTCTGCGCCGAGCCCCGCGGGTGCGCGCCCCAGCCGCGCAGCGAGCCCGGTAGCGGGGCGCGGCGAGCCCGGTAGCGGGGTGAGCTCCGCCGCCCGCCTCCCCGCGGCGCTGCCTCCTCCCACCGCGCTCCCCGGCGTGTGCGAACGGAGCGGGCGAGCGAGCTCCTCGCTATTAATAATAATAAACCCTATCCCCACCTTCCTCCTCTCCCTGGGAAAACAATTAATAATGCATTAAAATAATGCACCTTTACAGCCACCGGCTGGCAATAATAAAATAATAATATTACCACCACTTAAGAGAGAGCTGCTGTGGATGTGGCGGCGAGGCACGTTTTCCTATCATTCATACCCAAGTGTGAGCACAAATTATGCTCCTGGTATTCATAAGTCCCTTTCCCCTACCAGAGCAACTATCATTATCACCATCAAAGAGAAAGTCTCTCTGCAAAGCTGCGTGGAGACACTGAGTCTCCGGGCGGCTGCTGTGGCTGGGCTGCAAGGAGGGCACCCCCCCTTCCGTTCGACCCAAACCAATCTCATCGCTTCTCCTCCTCTTTTGCTTATACCAGTGGGTTAAGCATTGCGTTTGGCCCTTTTAGTGTTTTCCCTTCCGTTCCTCCCCTGACGATAGTTTGTGTATTTTAAATAAAGATTTCATTCTGCCAACCCGCAGGAAGCTTTTAACAAGATGCAGCTGAACGTGTCGATATCTTACATCTTTTTACTGCTGCTCCGGCGTGTACATCAACTCCGAACTCATTTCTTTTCTTCTTCGCCTGATACTGTAGCATCTCAGAGACGGCGGCGGCGGCAGCAGCAGAGCGCTGCTCCCGGGGGGCACTTTTACTTTGCCCTCAAAGTATCTCCCAGCAATGAGAGCCGTCGGAACCCCCCCACCCTCTTCTCTACAGCAAAATGCTGGAGTGATCACTGTAAGATTTCCAGTTCCACTGACAACACTACACAGCCTGAGAGCAGACGGGGTGGGGATTTTCTTTTTGTTTAGAATAGAGTTTTGTGTGCGCTATTTTTAATTAAGATTCTTCCAGAAATAGATCCCATCTAGATTTAATTTACGAAGGTATTTCTAACGCTGGTCAATACTGTCTTCCAAGAGGAACATTTGCAATCGTTTGCCTCCCCACAACGATGCGCAAATGCTCTTCACAGACCTTAAGCCGTTTATGAAAGACTAAAAAAGGGATTTTGTTGTTCTTTTTTTGTGGTGTGGGGTTTGGGGTTTTTTGTTTCTGTTTTTGGGGGGTTTTTTGGTTTTGTTTTGTTTTGTTTTAATTTTCACTTCATCTACATTAAAATAAAACTTTGCTCAGCATGCCGGCTACCTCCTATTGATTTCTGGTTTTTAAGAGGCGCTTTTTTTCTTTTTTCTTTCTTTTTTTTTTTTTTTTCTTTTTTTTCCCCACCGGGATGTTTTGAAGCAAGGTGATTTCTTTCCATGCATCTCCTTTCCTAACTCCTGGCTGAGCAGTTTTAACTAGCTGGCCCACTGCTACTCCGACTCTGCTGAGCCGTAACCACCTCCTCTCGCTAAGGCTCAAGCACCAGGTTAAACCCAAGGAGAGGCACCAAGCGGGCCTACGGCTCTCCAAAAGCTCAGCGCAGCCTGAGGGGCCTCTGACGAAGGCTGCGAGGTGCAACATCCCGACCGGCCGCGGAGGGAGCGTGTCCGGGGGTGCCCCCGCGCCCCGCGGGGCGGCTGAGAGGGGCGCTGCGCCCGCCCCACGGCCCCCCCAGCTCCGCGGTCGGGCGCGGAAGCACGCCGCAGGGGCCGCGGCGTGGAGCCCGGGCGGGCGCGGGGCTCCGCGGCCGCTGCACGGCAGCAGGTCGGGAGAAGCACTCAGCCCCCACCCCGAGAAAGGGCTAGGTCTGAGCTTCCAGCCCTGGAAGTCACGGAGGGCGCACCGCCCGCTTGCAGGTGTTATTTCAGCTCAGAGGTTTACCCTACACAAACCAAAGCGCTGCCCTTAAAAGAGTACAGGCGATGGAAAGCTACTAATACACCTGGTACTGAGCATTGGTGGTTTCTCTTTAAGGCTCGCTACAATTCAATTTGACCTAGTTTGAAGTATGAGGATTCAGCATTTGGGGAAAAAAAGGAAGAAAATTGGAAAAAAAAAAAAAAAAAAAAAAAGCATAAATATTCCCTCCCTTTTTTTTTTTTTTTTTTTTTTTTTTTTTTTAAAGGAGGCTGAAAATTGTGCTATTGTAGAGTGCACCTTTTTTGAGACCAGGCAACAGAGCAAGTTAAATATTTCCTCCCATTGGTGTTTTCCCTTCTGGTAGATCATTTGTGAGTATTGTTTTAATTTATGACTAAATATGGCATCAGTCATGTTTGTAAAACTGATTTTATCTGTACAGTAAAACACTGCTAAATGCAGTAGAAAATTAAGCGTTCTAACATCTTAACACTCCTGATTAAATTAGAATTACATCTTTCATTTCTATGTTTCTTTTGATCTTCAGTCTTTCCGTTTATTTTTTCTTTCTCTTAGATTTTTCAGGCTTGCTATGTCTTATTCCTACATTTCACGGCAAATTTATTCACAGGAGTAAAATACATTGATGTATATTACCTTTCATGAGTACCAAAGTTTTGTGCAGTATAGTATGTTAAGAGGCCATTTCACCATAATTTATGTGAAGCCCAAATAAAGCACCCATTCTGCATTCTGAACATTACACTATGCTTTTTAAGGTTTGTGGAGACTGGGGTGAATTCAACATTAGAAAGTGTTGCAAAGTTGATCACATGAGAGCATCTGGGAGAAAATCCATGGGGATGCAAAATCTCATAGAAATAAACAAGAAATAAAAATAAAATATTCCAAACATTAATTTAGAAATAAAAATATATCAGAATTAAGAAAATCGCCAAGCTGCAGTGTCTGCCAGGTCTTACGACACCTATAATCTGAAATAACCAAGTTTAACATTGATCAAGTACTGCGCCTATTCTCAACTAAGATACACTAGGAAGGGTAATTTGCATATCTACTTTTTTAGAAATCAGTTGTAGTAGTAAATATGATGGTTTATACATCACCAGCACTTCTTTTTGGTCATAGTCTATTTCTTTCTTGCAAGTCAGCCGTGAAAAATACAGCTGAGGTTGGGCATTTAAAAAGAAAAAAAAAATATAATGAAGCTTGTGCAAAGGAAAAGCAAACCTAGGAAAATTGCAAACCTGACAGTTTTAAGATGTAAAATACCATCTTATTTTATTTCTACCTTTAAGTGTCTGTGGGCATGCATGCTTCTTTTTTTTCAACCAACTTCAATACTCAGATTTCTGCTTTTCATGGACTAACCTATCCAGAGAAAAGCAGTAGACATTTTGGTATGCATCATATTTATTTGTAACCACAATGAACAAAAAGAGGTTGAATTGTTCCACCCCAAAATAAAAGTTATGAGAGAAGATGAATAGAAAATACATGGGTAAAAACACAGCAAAAAATGCTTGGCAAAACTCCTCTTGAGTATTTTTTCTTAGGACAGGCTAACATCTCCTGCAAGACACTGAGAAGATGACTCAGCAATTTGTAATCATCTGGAAGGCAAAAAGGACCATGCCTGCAAAGACCAGGTGCCTGCAGGAAGCTCTGAAGCCGTGATACCTTCACTTCATTAATTTGTGTGACGCAGCTTCATCAGCACAAGTTCTCCATAGCTGTACCTCCCCTATTCACATTGATCAGAGCTAAACACTTAAAACATCCAAGTGAAAAATTACACAGTACAAGTATTAATATACTTTCCCAATAATCATATCTTACAGCAAACAGGTAAAAAGGTGACAGGGAAAAATTGGTTCGTATTTTTCTTCTCACTGTGCATAAAACATAATTGCCCATTGTTCAAAGTCTGTCTGTATGATACACATAATACAAATATGCATATGATGAGAGAAATTAAGAAAGAATCTCATGCATATACACAAATTATCTTCCTTACAAAATGAGAGAAATTTATCTTTGAGAAGATGTTTCCTACCTTTGGATCACAAGGTGCTTAAAAATATACTTGTTGAAATAATCTTTCATCTTCAGGCTGCTGAAATGGTGTCCCTTTTCATGAAAAGGACTATGTACCCACCCAAGTGCCAAACATCTCATGGGTCATAATAGGAATTTTTCCAGGGGAAGGACTGTAGCTCAGGAAGCATGACAGAATGTATTAAAGAGAAAAAATATCGTTTTGTTATATGGTAGTCATATTTATATATTAACTATCTTCATTTATGGAACAACAACAAGCATATCTCCAAGTGTATCTACTTTAAAATATTTTGGCAATACTATTTGTATCTGGTAGTATTTTTGTTAAAAAGGTTTAAAAAGAAAAATAAATAGTTCAAACTCAGATGTTACACAATATGTTCTTAATTGTCTTTTTTCTTTTGACTAAATGGGTCTTTGAATCTCCATTATTAGGAAAGTATTTTTTCTTGTATGACTGAATGCCATAATTTTTCTTCATTATTCCTGATCTTTTATGTGTTAACAGTCTCACACTGCACAGAGGAACTGCATTTATTTTTAATAACATCAGATGGAAATTTTGAACATTTAAGCTGTAGAGCCTGGGTCACAGTGTTTGGATCTGACAGTCTAAAGCTATTTTCCCTTGTGTCCCTCTCCCTAAACCTCTATTTAGGAGCCTTTGTTTGAATTCATAGAACTGCTGTCTCTTGTTACTGCACTAGAGCAACAAGCATTAGCTATAAGGAACAAAACTTTCCAGTATGATTCTACTGGGCGTGCTTAGCTCTGACTAGGCACATGCTTAATTTTAGCTGAGGAGACAAAAAAAGGGAAAGCCAGCTTCACGTCTTTGGGTCGAAGTAGATTTCTGTTAGACATCAACTTGAGAATAAATATGAAGGACTATGTATCCAGCATCAATATATGTTTGCATTATTATTATCCCTTTCCCTGAAACAGCTGTTGTTTTGAAACCTGAGTTGAAAGCCTGTCTGACCAGACCACATGTCTGACCAGTATAGCAATACCGACATTCATGTAG